TATTTATTATTTTTTGTAGAGCAAAGCAATATATTACGAGAACGCACTGTGCGATTGACCCGATTGACCTCTATTACTGCCTGGGCATGAGTGACCTCTCACAGCTCTCATCTGATTTGCTGTCTGGGCTTTGGCAGAGGTCTGTGCTTTGCCTGAGAGCTTTTCCAGTTTATTCACAATTCCAGATAATTCAACAATGCCTTGTTTGGGAAAAACTATTTGTCTGAAGGCAATTACGTTGTTACTATTTGAGAAATAATTAAACCAAAAGTACAAAAATAACCTTAGGCTTCATTCATACTGCAGGTTTGTATGTTCAGTTCGGATATTTTGCTAAAATCAAATTTTTTGAGGTGGCCCATTCATGCTACTATTAAACATGACCGCTATCATGGTGCGTGGTTCCAGACCCCATGCACAGATAAAAGAAGGAGCCGTCACACAGCAGCGTACTGTTCATGGAGGTAATGGTAACTGTAATTGATGTTTTTATGTTTTTATCAGAAAGGTGTTAAACAATGAGAGCCGATAATATTAAGGCCACATAATAGTGAGATAAAGGAAGGTAAGAAGAAAGCAGTACAGCTGTTAGCAGTGGTCTTTTATGGAGCATTAACTGCTACTGCTGTGTGTGGCAATATAGTTAGACCCTGGAGACTGATGTGAAAGACGGTTAAAATGTAACATGGCCGTTCACACAGCTGACTTTTTCAAAAGTATTGGATGCATAATGACTTAGTAACACATATGGAAGTGGCACAGATGGATCAAAATCAGGCCATTCAAACTTCAATTAAAAAGAGTGATATGGGTTGCATTTCCCTGCAGTGGGACTCGAAATTGTTTAGAAATTACTGATTGATTAATATCTGTACCCCTCAGTTCAAAAATACTGTCTGCGCCTCTGCTTTATGATGGACATAAATCCACCATAACCTTGTCAGATGAACTTAAGGTAACCCCCTGAAATCATCTAAATGTGCGTGTCCAGATGTTCAGTTTTTCAGTACTTTTTGTACCACCTGCTATTCTGTATGATTGAGCTTAATGACAAAAAAACAAAAGGTGCTTGATCTGTGAATCAAGCTTTACATTTTCTGGTTCAATTTGAATTTCTACTTAAAACAGTCTTCCTAATTATGGCGTTCTAATTTTGACATCATTAAACCAAGATGGCTTCTAACATCAATCGCTATCACTGCACCATGCAAGGCTCCAAACAGGAGGTTCTCTGATAAAGTGACTGCAACCTTAAGAATGTCACAAAGAGTGATCAACAGGTTGCAACAGCTTTAAGGACATGCTGAAAGAGTCATTAAATGAATAGAATAGGACATCAATCTGCCAGATACCACACTGATTGATGTCTTTATTATGAATAGATTCAGGTGATGAATGCCACTCAACTCCAGGCATAAAAATACAGACCATATTTTATTGTGATGGCATCAAAATGTGCATCATTAGTTAAGGTTACTGATGACTGTACCTCAAATGCAGAGGCCTTCATTTGCTGCAGACCTGAATCATCATAAAAACGTATGGGTTTAGTTGATTCAGCATCCATGGAGGCGTATCATTTTGCAACTTAGAATTTTAGTAACTTGAAGGTCTCTTTCAAGGGTGAGTGGAATGCAATGCAAAGCTTAAGCAGGCAGTCGATACATTTGCGAACAGCATGAAACAAGCTTTATAACGTGTTAATGATTCACTTCAATTTAGTTTATTTAATTAATTTTTCTTCATTAAGGATTATTGATTATTACTTAATTAATTAATTATTTAATTCACAACACATGTCATCTCAAGGCACTTTACAATTCAACCAGTCAATGATGCTAAAAGGCACACCGGAAGTTAATTACACATTGGTATTTTTTGTTCTTGTGCTATAACCAGCGCTGTTGTTATTGGGTTCGGTTTCAATAATGTTTTTAAATTGGTAAAATCACCATGCATCTATTTAAACGGCATACTTTAATTATAATATCACATCTTCTCTTAAATTAATCTGGACACCAAATATCCCCAAAGTTTTGCGAGTGCATATTACTTTTATCCAGATATGGTCATGCTGCCACCCTAATTGGAGTAAATCTAATGAACAATAACAACGAGTTTGTCATTTACTGTTTTTTCCAGGGAGAAAGTTGTTTTAAAGGAGGTAAGATAAACATCCAAAACTGCCTGTACTTGACATGTTCAGTAGGTCTTGTCCAGAAGATGGCACTGTTTGGGTGGGGCAGGCACTTCTTCTCGATAAAAAGGATTAGAATAAATAATTACAGTTTAGGTAGATCTCAAAAAGTGAATATTTAGATTAAGATTAAAATTTGGTAAAGAAAAATAACTCCAGGAAATGTATTTCTGATGGCTTGTGTGTTACACCAGGGCTTTGCAAACTCCTTTTTCATTATTTATTTACTATATTTACTTAAACATATTTTGTTTGAGATTTTGTAGAACTTTTTTTTTTTTACCATTTTTATTCATGTTTTAATTTCATACGCTAAATAAAACCTGTTGCAAACAACTACCTTAAGAAGTAGTTCAATTGGAAAATGAGATCCCATTATTTGCCATTCCATCAAATGATTAACAGAACATTAATGAGCAGAGAGCATGAATTAAATGGATCAGATTAATAAAGAATAAAGTTCTGAAAAGGTGTAATGTAGGCTGGGGTTATAGAATCAATTCACAAGCCTTGGATATCTCCCAGGGACCTGTTCAAGCCATCCATCCATCCATCCATTTTCCGTCATGCTTATCCCTGCTGGGGTCACGAGGGTGAGAGGCGGGGTCCACCCTGGACAGGTCGCCGGTCCATTGCTGGGCAACACAGAGACAAACAGGACAAACAACCATTCACACACACACTCACACCTAAGAGAATCTAGAGAAGCCAATTAACCTAACAATCATGTTCAAGACATTGTCCAAAAAAGAAACATAAGAGTATGCTTTTCCTACTGGGTCATCTTCCAAACATGCTGAGAAAAAAAAAAGAAACATTATTATTAAACAATATTATACAGGAGGAACTGCAGAAATCCACACCTCAGGTGGAAAACTTTGCTGACCGAGTAACTCATTGTGTACTTTTAAAAACATGGCCTTTTAAAGCCCTGGTTAAACCATTTTGAATTTTCATATGCTTAATGTGGAAGAACTTCCTCATTGGCAGACTGGCATTGAGTAAAAAGAACATCTTGTCATCCTGAGCATAGCTCCTACGCAGGGGGATTTTTTTACAGGTTGTGGTTCCTGGGATAAGCTTGAGATTTGATCTAAATTCCCCAACATCTCCTAAATGTAATATTAATTTACTGTGTATTGATTTTTAGCTTATAATTTTTTTTTTGGAAAACTGAACATGGGATAATTTCCCATGTCTTTTTTCATGCCCTTTGTGTTTATCATGTTTACATACCGTATATTCTAATAGGTTTAGTGCTGCTTCAGTAGTACATACCTGCATGTAAAATAATGCCTTGCTGTATATTTGTTTCTGTTTTTTGTGTGTGTGTGTACAACTGAAAAAACAGAACCCTTCTAATATTCTTCTTCTTTTTCTTCATCTCTCTGAACACAGCTTTTTAAGAAAATTTAGAAAAGAACTGAAACAGAAAAAATAATGTTCAAACGTACCGGAGATCCAAAATGTACAGAAGCATGTGCTTTTATCTGTCTTTAAACAAAATATATGCCATTAAAAAGAAGTGAAATTGATGTGCATATACATTCTATGACAGCCCTAATTGCAAGGTATTTTTAAGGTTACCATTGCCAAGCTGTTTCTGATTATTCAACCATTGACTTTGTTAAAGTATCACCTCTATTGTAGCTTTTTCATGACTTAACTACATGCTGGGAGAGTCTAGAGAAGAGTAAATCCTTTTTGTAAAAAAAAAAAATTTTTATTATGTATATTGGATATTATGCTTTGTGTCTTTTTTAAATATAATTATTATGATTAACTATAATTATGATAGAAATGGCTTTGTTCTTTTTAATTTCTGAACAATAAAACTATACATTACTAGATCTACATAAAACAATACCAATACTATGTTTCAATATTGTACAGTATGCCATTAAGGGGAACTCAGACAATTCTCTTTTTTTTCACTTAGAGCACTGGCAGCAGGGATTATTAATGGAGGGCATCGAAAATGATCAATGATTATAGGAGGATAAATGGAGGAAAATACACGGAAGTCCTTGGGGAAAAAAAATACTTGTTTTGGGCTTTAAAGGTTCAACTTTCAGCAGCAGAACTTTCAGCAGCAGAAAAACCAGGAATAGACCCAGAGCTGGAAATAAATTGCTTAGATCAATGCATTTTTTGGCAGAACTATAATGAAATGGACGCTCAAGGTAATTATTTTAATTTATACAGCACAAAGGGCATCACGGGTAAAATAAATAATAAAAGACAAAAACTAAATAAATGTTGAGCAACTTGAGTTCTTATGTAAAATCCTGTGTAAATAAAAATGACTTAAGTTGGTGTTTTTTATCTTTAAAGTTGGCAAAGGACCCACATTTGCTAGCCACACTTTTCAGATTGTATTTGTAAAAGTTTAAAACAATTATTTCTTTCTGGTTTCACTTCATAATCAGCATGTTTTTTTTTAGCAAAAGGGGAAAAATGGTTTTGATTGTAACATGAAAACATGAAAAAAAAAAATTGAATAATTTGACAAGTGATTGTTTGATTGTAAATCCTATTTCAGTTGAATAGCAGTGGATATATTATCTACATGTATACAGTTAGTGCTTAGAAAAGACAACAACAATTAAAGAGATGTGAAACTTGATGGGATCAACTGGAAGATAATGGGATTTCTGTCTTCCCCTCTGTGAGCTAACTTTTTTCAAATTCGTTTTGGGCAAAAGTCCAACAAAACAATTAGTATGGGAATCCCAGTCATGCTCTTCAACAAATCTCTCCCTCTCTCTCTCTTCCCCTATTCTCTCTGGTTTTCTGCAGATGGCCCCAGCAAAGCCACAGCCAAGTTTATTTTCTTCACGGTGGTCCCTTTAGGGTGGCTGCGGGCCCCTGCCATCCTGCTGCTGATGTATTAGGTGGGGGTCCCTTAAGAGATGTCAGCAGGACTCTTTTATTGCTAAAGCACTCTATCATATTGTTCCTGTTGGAGAAGATCTTTGGTGTCCTGTCTAAAGGGACAAGATAAGATAAGTAATTACAGTTGAAAAGGGAAACTTGTTCTTCTTTTAGACATATAATATAAACTTATAATAAAAAACACAAATTGGGTTAATGCTGATCCAAAACAAAGATGAATCAAATATACAATGAAAGCTTTTTGAACATGAGAGAAAATCAGTATTTTGGGGTGTAAATGTATTCAAAAGTGAAAAAATAAGCCAAAAAAGTGTAAAAAAAAAAAAAAAATCAGCCAATTACTTCATACTACTTCAATTATTACTCAATAAAATATTATACCTAAAAGAAATCCCATCATTATTGGAAAATTGCGATCATATAAGTTTTTTTTTACTTTAAAGATATTGTCCCAAATGTTTTATTCATCACAAAACATGAACAGAGTGAGACTGTTATTTTCCATTATTTGATGTCATTATCACCCTGAGGCCATGTTGATTGGTAACAATTGGAAAAATGCAACAAAACAATAACAAACTCTTAGATTTATTTTATTTTAGGTAAATTCTTACCCTTTTGCAAAATGAACACACAGACAACTATTCTTAGCCATTTTTCTTCTGTAATGGTGCTTTAAACTAGCCCTGAAATATGAAAAAGAAAATTGAATAAAGTTGATCCAACACAATTTTTTTTTAGTTTAAAAGTTGACAAGTTAAATATATAACTTAATTCAAATACTTAACTACTGAAGCAATTCATTTCAGTTGGAGCTGCATTTTCTTTTCAGAGTGGGGTTTGTTTTCTGATTGAAAATAGACACACCCAGAGACACTAAAACAAAACAAAAAAATGTAAATATTCAGGGATTCCTTAAAAAAAAAAACGCGGTGTAAGCAAACACTTTTTCTTTGGGATCCTTTCTTGAGAAAAGGCCAAAGAGGGAGAGCGAGAGAGGCGGTGTGTGCATAAATAACTGTCGGCATGATGTAAACACTGCGGTCATAACCCGGGCAAATTAAAACAACTGGCCTGGGCGGCTTTAACTCTGGATGCAGGTTATCCTCTTCTTTTAAGATCCACTCATACTATTGGTTGAGTCAAGGAGGAGATAAAAATCAAACTTTGGTCTAAATAAATATAATTTGGTAAATTAAATCCAATTAACAACCATAAAATATAGATTTTTTTTTTTATTTAACAAAGAGCAAGAGGTGCACAGATTTAAAAGCATGAGTTTATGGTCCATTTTGGGACTTGGAATAATCTCTGATTGCAAGAGAGGTTTGTTTATGCAACGGTAACCAAGTTATCTCACAGAAACAACAGTGAGGGCCTTATCAGGAACCCCGCTTTGTCGGTGCTCATGGTTCTGCTATTCTGAATGCTAACACTGATAAGAGGGGTGACCAGGTCAACTGACTGGCCCACACATGGATATCAGAAAAATATGAAATAGTAATTCAGAACACGGGGTTTAAAAGTTGGAAAAATATTTTTATATACATGCATTCTGTACAGACATTTAAACCAGGAGAAAACACCTGTAGATTATGACAAAGTAGAAAGGAAAATACAGAAAGATTGTCTTTGAACCAGCAAAGACAATCTCTGTTTAAATAAATTGATCTGTTTAGTTACGGGAACGTTATGGAGAGATTGAGAGGATGCGCTCTCTCCGTTATTCCCACTCTCAGTCTGTGGAGATGAGACTGTATTTCAGTCAAAGCTGGAAGTTTTTGTTTTCTGTCTTTTGAGAAAAAAAAAAATAAAAATAATAAATCAGGATGCAGTTGTTCCGCATAACCGTGTTGAGTTGAGCATCTCCTTCAGATCAGTCTCCGGTTTTCCAGCGACCATGAAGGGCCACGTCTGCGGAGGGGAAATATCAAGTCAGTTTGGATTCGGATCAAGAAACAACAAATGGTGATAACAAGCTCCTCATGATGTTAGTAATACATTTTTAATTTAACTTTATATAAGAACATTTTATGTTGTTATGTTTCATTTTCGTTATTTTACATTAATTTGATCCAACGAAACATTACGCACAACTGGTTTATTGTTGGAAACAGCATAAATATGCCCACATAAAGAATTGCATATTCTTTAAACATATTTTAACTTCATTTAAATATTAAATAGTCTAAGAACTAATCCCTTAAAGAAGGCTGTCTTCTCCCTTTATGCACAAATTTTCAGCGCTATAATTTAGATAAGTAAAGCCCTGCAAAAATGCAACCACTAAAATGAACCACACTATATCATTATGTGCAATTTAACTTGCAGCATCTAGAGCCCAATGTATTTCTAAACATTTTAGCAATTTTGAAATCCATCATTCACACCTAAGGCCATCAAACAGTGGTAAAAAAATTATTTACACATAAAACGTGCGAGGTTGTTCTCATATTTTCTAAAAACCAAACGATTTAAGTTACTGCAGCTGACATGATGTGCACTCTTAATAAAGCCTGCAGGTTGAGTCTCACCAGGTTAACTGGGTGCGTATATCCGTTTTCGTACTTGTCGTTGGCCAGGATCTGTCGGAGATGTGCGATGTAGCTGGACGCCAGGCGCAGCGTGTCTAGTTTGGAGAGCTTGGTGTCCGGTGGCACCCACGGTAAGGAGGTCTTCAGCCGTGAAAAGGCCTTGGACAGGACTCGCATCCTGGCTCTTTCCCGCGCGTTAGCTGCGTTCCTCTGCACCTGTTTGCCCTCCTGCTGCGCCACACCCTTCGGTGCGCTTTTGCGCGACGCTGTCTTGCGCTTCTTGCCGGACGCTTCTTTCCTCCTGCCCTCAGTAGCGAAGCTGCCTTCACAGTTAGAGCTCTCCTCTGTGCTCTCATTGGAGTCCTTACCACAGGAGCCGAACTTGAGAATGCCATCCAAGAGTTCGTCGTCGACGTCGCTTAGAGATCCGGTGGACATGGTGATGCAGGACTGGGCAGGAGGCTCAACGCATAAGAGCGGGACAGCTGTTTCTGGACGGAACTGAACGGGGATGTGAAAACACACTCCTGGGTGTTCATGAACAAACTAAGTGAAAGAAGCAGAAAAGGAACTGTTTTTATCTCCATAAGAGCGCAGAGGGCGTTTCCTCATGCTGGGAGGAGACAGGGCTGATCTGACTTGGTTCCCCAAAATTTCCAGGACCCCGATTGACCTTGGATGATTCACCAGGCAAAACAAAGCAATACATTTTTAATTAATCCAATAAAACGAACAACATTGGTCATTTTTGAAGAACTGAAATTTATTCGGGAATCAGAAATAGGATACAAGCATTTTATGGATGGAATGCAGATTTTAGAGAAGACATAATACGGTCTGGGGGAAAAATACACCTATACTTATCTAACTTAAATGATAAGATGCATCATGAGGTTTGAAACGAACAAACAAACAAACAACAACAACAACAACAACAAAAAACATCCTAACTTAGCTTCAAAAGTGAAAAGTGTAAATAGCCAGATCACAACTATAAAACCCCGTTAATATAATTTTCAACTAAAACTTCTGAACATAAACAAAAAGTGTGGAGGGTAGATCTATAGGACTGGGAATTAATCAACCCTCAAACCAGTCAGCCAAAACCATGTTTATACATCACAACAGAACTGGTAGATGAAAATTTAGGTTATTAAACAGGTACAACTGCAATATATCCGATTTTTGGAATAATGATGTTGGGAAATAGCTTCTAGCTCCACGGGCAGGGGACGTCTTATTTATTTGAATGTGGCAATGTGCTAATAGTGAAGGTCCTGTGAGAATGGAAGACGCATTTTTTACATTTTCTTCTATAGTCTTATGTTCAAATCATCCGAAAGAGTTTTTGCGTGATTATAGGCCTCTAAGATGCAAGAAAACCCCTAGGCACACCATGTCTTGAATATTAGGTAAGGCAAATGTTCATAACCATAACCTAATAAACTACAGAGTTCAATAAGGGCCAAAAGGAAAGTGGTGGATATACTTTTAAAAAGCATGAGCATTCTACAGTAGGTCAAATCTTCAATTTTGTAATGATGGTGATGTAAATTAATTATATGTAAACCTTAAAGACTGATGGACATAAACAAATTGTTTGAACAAATAATTCAAATATCTCATTATTTATTATTTTAATTGTTTAACTTTTTTCTTTTGATAGAATGAACTTTAAAATGAGATATTTTAATCAATGAACATTGTTTGAAAAGAAAAATGTAAATGTAGATAAAGTATTGAATTGACAGGCGTAAATCAGCACGTCTGTCAATACAATACTTAATACAATACTACAGAGACACTAAATAGAAAAAAAAACATAAAATAATTGCATTAAAACAAATAAAGTCATAATAAATTAAGCAGAAAATATGTGTCCTATTTTTAATTAATAAAGATGTGTCTTAATACAACCTGTTTTCAAAAATAGAGGTGAAGACAAGATAAATACATCTTTGTTTACAGCTGTTTTCATTACATGGAAAGCTTGTTGTTAAACTTGAGGTGTGAGGTTACAGGGATAGACCTCCACAAAGAAAAGCAAAATAATAAAACAAAAGGAACATAGTTTTTTTCTTGAATATAATTAGTATTTAACCTTCTTAGTTATTAGTTTAATCAACCTTGTATCCAAATACAGATGGATAGAAAGATCAGCTTCACAACTCTAGAGACTGAAATTCTGCTTCCTCATCTTCACAAAATAGCTTATCCCCAATCTGTTTACCTGAGCAGCATGTGTGCATCAATGTTTAGGTCTTCACAGATTCCCAGATGGATTAAAGTCTGGAATTTGACTGGATCATACAATTACATAAAGATGCTGTGATCTGAACTTTTCAACTCTGTCCCTTGATGTATGTTTATGGTAACTGTTCTGCTGAAAGGTGAACCAATCATAAGCCTTTTGCAGATCCAGAAAGCTTTTCTCTTGGAAGCTCATGGTTTTTACCGCCATCCAGCCTTCCATCTG